AGAAATGGCCATCACAAAATCAGTCAAGGTGTGCATTCAATGATCCAGCAATGGATGTGGCGTCAAACAATTTGTGCAAGCTTTGAAGTACCAAGTAGTACTGGGAAGTGCTTTGTGCAAGCTTTGTAGTACAAAGTAGTACTGAGACGTGCTTTGCGCAAGCTTTGTAATACAAAGTAGTACTGGGAAGTACTTTGTGCAAGGCTTGTAGTACGAAGCAGTACTAGGAAGTAGTTTGCGCGAGTTTTGGTGTACAAAGTGCAAACTTTTGTAGTACAAAGTATTACTGAAAGCTTTCTAGTACAAAGTAGTACTGGGAAGTTGTTTTGAAGCTTTGCGCTACAAAGTGCTACTGGAAAGTGCTTTGTGCAAGCTTTGTAGTACAAAGTAGTACTGGGAAGCACTTTGTGCAAGCTTTGTAGTACAAAGTAATACCGAGAAGTGCTTTGTGCAAGCTTTCTAGTACAGTACAGAAAAGAGGTTTGTGCAAGCTCTGTAGTACAAAGTAGTACTGGAAAGTATTTTGTGCAAGCTTTGGGGTCCAAAGTAGTACCGGGACGTGCTTTGTGCAATCTTTTGTAGTACAGATTAGTATTGGCAACCTTCTAGTACAAAGTAGTACTGGCAAGTTTTTTGTGCAAGCTTTGTAGTGCAAACTAGTATATACAAGGAAGCGCTTTGTGCAAGCTTTGTAGTGCCAAGTAGTACTGAGACGTGCTTTGTACAAGCTTTGTCGTAACTGTAGTTCACAGTAGTACTGAGAAGACTGAGAAGTACTTTGCGCACTTTGTGCAAGCATTGTAGTACAAAGTCGTGCTGGGAAGTGCTTTGTGCAAACTTTGTATCACAAAGTAGTACTGGGAAGTACTTTGCGCAAGCTGTGTAGTACAAAGTAGTACTGGGAAGTGCTTTGTGCAAGCTTTGTAGTGCAAAGTAGTACTGGGACGTGCTTTGTGCAAGCTCTGTAGTACAAAGTGCAAGCTTTGTAGTAGCAAATGGTACTGGGACATGCTTGGCGCAAGCTTTGTAGTACAAAGTAGTACTCTGTGCGCAAGCTTTGTAGTACAAATTGTACTTGGCAGTACTTTGTGCAAGCTTTGTAGTACAAATTAGCACGGTGGAGTACTTTGTGCAAGTGTTGTAGTATAAATTAAAGTAGTAATAGGAAGTATTTTGTGCAAGTTTTGTAGTGCCAAGTAG